GGGGAAAAAAAAGGGCTTCTCAGTGTAATCTCCACATGCACTTTGCTGATGCCTGAGGCCAGCGCTGCCTCCTGTGTCGAGCAGTTGAGTCATCTGACCTTCCTTTCCTGGGAACAGTCCGATCTTCGCTCATCTTTCCGTGACATCACTGGTCCTTTTCTTCCTGATTTATGGAAGCTCTTTCGGAATGAGCTCTTTGTGACTTGGGTTGCAAACACTCTTTCCCAGTTTGCCCTTTGTATTTTCTCATTTTGCTTTGCCAAGAAGAAACGGTGCATAATTATGTAACTTCATTTCTCAACCTTGTCTTTTATGACTTTTGGGGACTGTGCGAAGCTAACTAGGGCCTCCTCCACTCCAGGATTATAAATATAATTGCTTGTGTTTTTCTCTACTTCTGTGGTTTTATTTTTTACTCTTAAATCTTTCATTCATCTGGAATTTATTTTCACAGAGGAGCGAGGGAGGCCCAGGCTGTCCCAACATCATCTACTGAATGACCATGTCTCCATTCCATCCATATGAACGCCACCTTCCACATGCCTGGTTTAAAACTGATCCTCCTAAAGTGATCCTTGCTGTGCCCGTCAGTACTCCTGATTTTCTTTTTTTTTTTTTTTTTTTTTTGAGACGGAGTTTCGCTCTTGTTACCCAGGCCGGAGTGCAATGGCGCGATCTCGGCTCACCGCAACCTCCGCCTCCTGGGTTCAGGCAATTCTCCTGCCTCAGCCTCCTGAGTAGCTGGGATTATAGGCACGCGCCACCATGCCCAGCTAATTTTTTGTATTTTTAGTAGAGACGGGGTTTCACCATGTTGACCAGGTTGGTCTCGATCTCTCGACCTTGTGATCCACCCGCCTCGGCCTCCCAAAGTGCTGGGATTACAGGCTTGAGCCACCGCGCCCGGCCAGTACTCCTGATTTTCAGTCCATCTCCCCATCTGTCTTTGTCGGCACTCTCTCTGACTGCTGAGCCTTCAGAAACACCACCCTGAGGCTGAGTGCAGCGGCTCAGGCCTGTCCTGCCTGCAACTCAGGAGGCCAAGGCTGGCTGATCACTTGAGGCCAGGAGTACGAGACCAGCCTGGCCAACATGGCAAAACCTTGTCTCTACTAAAAATACAAAAATTAGCCAGGTGTGGTGGCATGCCTTTATAATCCCAGCTACTCTGGAGGCTGAGACAGGAGAATCACTTGAACCCGGGAGGTGGTGGCTGCAGTGAGCTGAGGTCACGCCACTGCACTCCAGTCTTGGTGACAGAGTAAGACCCTGTCTCAAAAGAAGGGAAAGAAGAGCAAGAGGAAAGAAGAAAAGAAAGGAAGAAAGAGAGAGAGAGGGAGAAAGAAAGAAGGGAGGGAGGGAGGGAGGGAAAGAAAGCCCACCCGACCCTGTGCCCAGCCTGCAGGTGGGAACTCCTCCCCCCCCGGCCCTACCCTCAGACACTCCACCAAGGAACAAGGCCTGGCCTGGCACTATGGCTCGTGCCTGTAATCCCAGCATCCCAGCACTATGAGAGGCTGGGGCAGGAGTGTCACTTGAGCCCAGGAGGTCAAGGCTGCATGCAGTGAGCTGTGTTTGTGTCACTGCACTCCAGCCTGGGTGGCACAGCAAGATTGTCTCACAAAGAAGAAAAAAAGCGTGTCCTTCCACAACACCTTTTAGGAGACTCTCACTTGCACAGGCTCACTTTTCCTTTTCTCAGGCTGTCGCCGAGGCCGGAGTGCAGTGGTACAGTCCTCACTACAGCATCCCCGGCTCACGCTTCCCAAGTAGCTGGGACCACAGGCAAACACAACCACACCTGGCTAATCATTTTTATTTGTTTTTTGGAGACGGAGTCTTACTCTGTCACCCAGGCTGGAGTGTAGGGGGTCAATCTTGGCTCACTGTACCCTTCATGTCCCAGGTTCAAGCAATTCTGCCTCAGCCTCCCAAGTAGCTGGGAGTACAGGCGCATACCACCATGCTCGATTAATTTTTTTTTTTTTTTTGTATTTTACTAGAGATGGGGTTTCACCGTGTTGTCCAGGCTGGTCTCAAACTCCTGAGCTCAGGCAATCCACTGCCTCGGCCTCCCAAAGTGCTAGGATTACAGGCGTGAGCCACCGCGCCCGACTCATTGGTAATTGTTTTGTAGTGATGGGGTCTCACTATGTTGCCCAGGCTGGTCTCAAACTCCTCAGCTCAAGTGATCCTCCTGCCTTGGCCTCCTGAATAGCTGGGATTTACAGGTGTGAGCCACTGGGCCTGGCTGGGTCTCGCTTTTTCTAATCTTCCCAATAACCCAGGAGATGGTGAGAGGCCATCACAAGGAGGAGGGCAGAGAGGGCTCTCCTGGCAGAAAAAGGCAGGAGCAGCTTTGGCAGTCGGCATTCTGAGGTCCCAGCCCAGCAGCCATCCCCTGGAGACTCTCTCCTTCAGCAAATATAAGCCTCCCACCTCCATTTACCCATGGAAAGTGATCTCATCACTGTTGTTAAATATGAAAAATGATGCACGTGACACCTTCAGCCACCTGCTGCAGCTGTCACTCCTGCTCCTGGGACCACCCAGCACTGAGGCTCCACACATGGGCTTTTTCGGGTGGCCCAGACCATGCTCCCCGAACCTGTGCGTCATCGTCATCCATAACCTCCCTCTGCTCCCGGATCCTGCCTGGGGTGACACATCTGTAGCAAGGGCAGCTAATTTGACTTCCCACGCACAGAGCGCCAGGGCTGCTAGCTCTGTGTGTCCCCAGCTCTGCTCTGTCTCCTGAGCTCTGCTCAGTTCTCGTCACCTGCATGCCTTTCAGGCAAAACGCAACAGGCTTGATACTAAAGCCATGATTGCCTCCCACAGCACTTGTTCCTAAGTCTATTTTCCTATTTTGCTCAAATATCATCAACAACCCAAGCCAGAAACATGGGCCCATGCCTTCGGGAGGCCATGTGCTACTCTTAGGCCCTCGGTCCAGCCTGTGGGCGGGCATCGGTTTGCCTGAGAGTTCCAGTCTAATATAGGAAGATGCCGGGTCAGCAGCTTGTGTCCAGAGAAGCTAGACTCTGGTTCGGAGAGATCCCCCACGTGGCTTTAATCCTATTTGGCATATCAGATGCATAACACAAGGTTGGAGAAAGAAGAATGCCGTGGCCCAACCCTTTGGGTCCTGGAAATGGAGGAAAGAGAGAGGAAAAGCAAGAGCACAAATCACCAGAATGCGTGGCACCTCGCGTGTGCCCTGCAGGCTCCAGCTGAAGGACAGGAGTGAGAAGGGTGGAAGGGCTCCCACCCGACTTCCCCGTGTGCAGGGGCTCTGAGGAGGCTCGCCACAGTGCGCTGGGTCCTCTGCAGAGTGGCCAGGCAGCAAGAGGCCCTAACATGTGGCTAGGGGTCTTGAGTGTTGTCGAGTAAAAGGAAATCCCCCTACCCAGCAGCCAGCAGGTAGAGGCTCTGAGGAAGCCCAGATGTGTTTTAGAAAAAGGCAGCACATTTGCCCTGACTCCCCACTGCACTTGTCTTCTTCAGTAAGCATCGTTCACGGTGATGCTAATCTCCGCCTCCCACCACGCTGCCCTAGTGAAGCCCTAGGTCCGTTGGATGGAAGCGCTGTAGCTCACAGTCCAGGCCATGCCCCGTGGGACACCGTCCTAAACCAGAGCGGCTGGCTGGCTTCTTTGATCATAACTATTAAGCTTTTTTATTTTTATTTTTTTGCTTTTTCTTTAATTTTTATTTTAGAGACAGGGTCTTGCTCTGTCACCCAGGCTGGAAGGCAGTGGCGCCATCACAGCTCACTGCAGCCGGAACCTCCCGGGTTCAACCAGTCCTCCCACTTCAGCCTCTGGAGTAGCTGGGAGCACAGGCACCAGACAGCACTCTTGGCTAATCTTGAACAATTGTTTGGAGAAACGGGGTTTCGCTGTGTTTCCCAGGCTGGTCCCGAAATCCTGGACTGCAATCCTCCTGCCTCGGCCTCCCAAAGTGCTGGGATTCCAGGCATGAGTGTCAAGCTGCGCACTGCTGACAAAGCCGGGATCCAGCTCCGGCGCCTGTCTCCAGCCTGACATCGACGCCCACACCACAGGCAAACACCTCGCCTCTGCCCCCAGCCCCCGCCCGGCTTCCGGCTCTCCCCAGCTTCCAAGCGCTTTGTACCCGCTCGCCATCAGCTGTCCCTTCCCTCAGCACTGCCTTTGCAGGCGACTTGCTCTCCTCCATCGAGACTCAGCTCTTTCACGAAGTCGTTCTCGACCTCTGCAGCCGTGTGAGGTCTCACCCCCTAGGGCAGCTCCTCCTGCTCCAGCTAGATGGGGGACGGCGACAGGGGCCTGCCGAGGACACCGTCGCTGCACCCCGCCTGCACGCCCGCAACTTCTCCAGCCTCCCCCTTTTGCAGGCTGTCCCTTTCTTCTGAAATGACCTCTGTTCCAGGCCAGAACACCCTGGAAACTGTTCACGTCATAACATGCTCGGCCGGGTGGTGTGCTTTCCTTCCCAATGATCCCCACTCTTCCCTTCTCAGGCTACTGAGCTGGAGGGGCTCCACTCCAGCCACCTCTGGACTACAGGATGACTCAGGAAATACGTGGACAGGACCGCGCACGTCCAGCAGCACCTCCCTGGGCCCCCTGTACAGAGCATGGTCCACATCACAGGGTCCCTGACCAGCGCCTTGTGACCCCAGCCAGCCTGGCGGAGATGAGAGGCTCGACAGACGCGTGTTGCAAAGGCAATGCTGGAGGGTGAAGAGGGAAAGCAGGACTCTCGAGGGAGGTGCTGGGCGGGCCTTCGCGGTTTCGGAGTTGGCCGCCGGCGCGCCAACTGCCCCGCCCCTCCCCGCCCCACCGCAGCGCCTCCCGCACCCCCCCCCCGCCCTCCCGTGTCTCGCCCCGCCCCGCCCCGCGTGCCACGCCCCCTCCGCGTCGCCCCCCCGCCCCGCCCCGCCTCTGCCCGGCCCCGCTCCACCCTCCCCACCTGCCCGGCCCCGCCCGGACGCGCCCGCCGCGCCCGCCGCTCACCTGTAGGCCCAGGGGGACACGCTGCGCAGGTTGGTGGGCGGCCGGAAGCGGCGGTCGGCGGATCTGCCCCCGGCCGGGCAGCTCGCGTTGCGCGCCTGCTCGCGCGGCCCCAGCTGCAGCGCGTGGTGGAAGGCGCTGAGCACGCCGGCCGCCAGGCGCCCGTACAGCTGCTCCAGGAGCTCCTCCGGCCGGTCGGCGCAGCCCCGCGGCCGCGCCGGGCGCCTGCCCGCCCTCGGGGCGCCCGCGGCCCAGCCCGGCGGCAGCACCAGCAGGAAGCCGGCCACCAGCATCCAGACCTGCGGGACAGGCCACGCTCAGCGCCCGCGCGCGCCGGAGGAGCCCGCCTGCGCCCGGCGCCCGTGTCCCGCCCGCGGCGCCCGGAGCCCGCGGGCGCCTCCCCTCGCCCCGCAGAGCCCGAGGCCGGCCCGGAGGATGGGAGCCGCGCGGGCTGGCCCTCGAGCGCCTTCCCCGCCCGCCCGCCGCCCGCGGGGTCCCCGGGGCCCAGCCCGGCGCCGGCCCGCGCGCCCCCGGCCCCCACCGCCACCGCCTCCCCGAGCCGGGGGCCGCACGGGGGGCTGGTGCGGGGCGCGCGTGCACGTGTGCGTGTGCCTGCCGGGCTGCTGCGCCGCAGGCTGTGAGTGCCTGTGACCCGCCGCGCCCTCACCCCCGGGCGCGCCATCCTCGCGCCGCCGCCAGCGAGGGAGCCCCGGAGCCTGAGACTCGCCCGGACCCGCCGCCTCGCAGACCCATCCACGCCCCCGCGCCTCGTCATCCGCCCGCCCCCGCCAGCCCGCACGGGGTCCGGGACCCGCTTTCGGAGAGAAGCCCCCTGTGGCCTTTCCTCGTACCCGGGGACGCGGACCGAGGAGCTGACTGCGCGAGGTCGCCGCCCGGGCTCATGACTCAGAGCGGCTCTGCACCCTTCGCCTCCGGGAGCTGAAAACATTTTGTCACTTGTGCAGTGTACTCACCAGTGCCCCCAACATCTTCTTTCCCGAAAACGCTTTCAGATTCGCGCCGAGATGGGGCGACGCGGCGGCTCTTTAGTGGAGTAACCCGAAGGGCCACGCGAACGGGGGCCCCCAGCCGCGAGTATGCGGCGGGCCGCGGGGCTCGGAGGGCCTGGGGTCGCGCGCCCCGGGCCTGTGCTGCGCCGCGCGGGAGGAGGAGAGGGCTGGCCCTGCCTGGCGCGGGTGCGGGCCCGACTGGCTGAAGGAGGAGTGGGGACTGGCCTGGAAGTCTCCGAGCAGAAAACTGGGGCCGACAGGATGGAGTTGGGGGAGGCCGATTTTGGCTCAGAGAGATTTCTCTATTGAGGAAAGCAGTCCAAGAATAGAACAGGCCCCTGCGAGAGGATGCACTCAGACCCAGAGGGATTCTCCTTAGAGCTACCTCTTTTGAGATTCCGTACTTCGAGGAAATTAAAAAATCTCTATTTTTAATCAGGTGGGAGGAGACGACTTCTCCTTTCTCCTCAGCAACATGAAATGATCCCGTGCCTCTATCCAACAAATCTACAACAAAGCACTGACTACTTCCCCGACTGTCCCGTTCATGGCTGTTCTTGGGTATCTCTGATGACGATGTTGGAGAGTTCCTGCTCCCTGAAAACTCAGTTCTAAGTGCAGGCATGAAATGAGCCTGGTAGTCTGCGAATGAAGAAACTGAAATGAAGAACCGTATGATACTTCGTAACACAAGACAACTTGCTTGCTTGTTCATTCTGCAAGTAAATGCTTACTGCTTCCTAGGTGGCAGGCTAATGAACATGATTTTAAAGCAGTCATGCTTTGAAAAATAAACAACCCATCCCAGCTGTAAGCCTTTTGAAAGTGTACAAAATATGTAATTGGTGACTCCCTAAATGGTTTGCAGCTTTGGTATTTGAATTGTAAACCATTAGTGAAACTACCTTTCAGTTATGCTTTGTAGGAAAAACACTTCTAGGCCTTGAATGTATAAAACTAAGGAGCTTAGTAATCTAGTTACTGCTGAAAATCTCACTGAAATCTCCAGTTTAAGCGATTTAAGCAATTTACAGCTCTTGGCAAATATTTGTTTTGGGTTATAAAACACTGTTTTTCTGACTAGTAAATTGTTCATGTTCTGTGTTTCCTTTCCAGTAAAATGGGAATAAAGGTTTCAATACTCAAATACTGCTTATTTTTATTGGAAAAAAGGAAACAGAGAGTGTCGTGAGAGCTTCACAGAAATAGTCCGTCTCATTTCGGCATCCGTTCCTGTATGAGGTGACGTGGTACCGGGCTGAATTCTGCATATTATTCAACAAAATCGTTTCCACTGTGTGCTAGCGTGGCAACGTCTCCTGCCCCCCAGCCCCCGAATTACCTTGGAAGTGGGAAGGAAAATATTTACTTTCCAGCAGTTTTCATTTTGTGAAAGATCACAAATGACTGAAAAATGCTCACCCCTTTGGTAAAACAAAGTTCATCCTTGTGAGACTAATCAGTTGAGAAAGTCTTATAAATTAGGAGCAAGTGTCTATGAGTGCCCCTCAAATTTCAGTATGTCTATGAAGACGCAAAATAAGCATGTTCATAAGTTCAAACCTAAGACAAGTGAAAAAAAAAAAGGGAACAAAATACTCAAAAGCAGGCTCACTGTGTTCCCTTAAAACTAGCACATCAGCAGTGTGGTCACGAAGGCTCAACTGGAAGCCTCTCCAGTCTTAGCGTGGGCCAAGCTGCTGGGGAACATCTTTTAAATCATCCTTAGGCACCGTAACTCCAAAAGCCGGTGTGTGGTTGGCTACTTCCATACTAATCTTCTTGGGTTACTGAGGTTCGTATCTACCCAAACCTCTTTCTCTCCCTGAAAGAGCTGCCCCTAGGTGCTGCTGCTGATAGCGCTTCTCACTGCTGTCACCCTCCTGGTCACTCCCTTGATTCACTGATTTTAGCACCTGGAGCTACCACTATTCCCGCTGATCATTCCTGACGCCTTAACCTGCACAGACATTGAACACGCCGATTTCCAAGTGACTACGTTAGTTCAGTTGTCTTGATTTCCCATCTCTTCTCAACCGTCAAGTCATATGATCATATCCAAAGTTTCGTCATCACCAATAACTGCGACACATCCAAACGTCCGATTTCAAATACCCTATTCCCTGACACAAGCTCCTTCTATTTTTGCCCACTCCTGCCGTTCTCTGCCACCATCCAGCCTTCTCCCACTTCTCGCTAACGATTCCACTCTTGAGTCCCTATCTCCTTTCTTCTCTAGTTTAGATTTCCCAGTTCAACACTGTCACCACAGCCTTGTAAACACCCTTACTCAATCCCTTTCTTCTTTTTCTCTCTGTGGTACTTGCCTAGAATCCCATCTCAACTCTTAAAAATCATACAACTGGGCTGGGCGCAATGGCTCCTGCCTGTAATCCTAGCACTTTGGGAGACTGAGTTGGGTGGATCACCTGAGGTCGGGATTTCGAGACCAGCCTGGGCAACATGGTGAAACCCCGTCTCTACTAAAATAGAAACACATAGCCAGGTGTGGTGGTGCATGCCTGTAGTCCCAGCTACTTGGGAGGCTGAGGCAGGGGAATTGCTTGAATCCGGAAGAAGGAGGTTGCAGTGAGCTGAGACCACATCACTGCACTCCAGCCTGGGCAACAGAGCGAGACTCTGTCTTAAAATAAAATAAAATAAAATAAAAAGAAGCATACCACTGAGCTGAGCAGACTCACTACTGATTTATGACCACAAGTCTTAGATTAACATTCAACCTAAGTATCCTATTACACCTCTGTAGTTATGGTCTTCTTCCAGTATCACTGATCTGTATATTTTCTCTCCTCAAGTCCGCTGCCCATTTCCTTCCTCCCCCTTCCACAGACGCAGACGAGAGCTTTTGCTTTTCTTCTAACCACCAAATGCACTAGTTACTCGCACCCAGTCTGATGTCTCCCACCTGCTTTCCTGATGTATTTGATAAACCTTTTCTTGACCCCAAGTCTCACTCGACTCCCCTTTACAGCAAGCGTTCTGAATGTTTATATTATTTTTGAGACAAAAAGTTTCACTCTTACTGCCCAGGCTGGAGTGCAGTGGCCCGATCTGGGCTCACTGCAACCTCCACCTCCCGGGTTAAAGCTATTCTCCTGCCTCAGCCTCTCGAGGAGCTGGGATTACAGACACGAGCCACCATGTCCAGCTAATTTTTGAATTTTTAGTAAAGACGGGGTTTCACCATGTTGGCCAAGCTCATCTCGAACTCCTGACCTCAGGTGCTGGGATTACAGGCGTGAGCCACTGTACCCAGCCTTGATTAGCATTCTTTTTCTGTTGTTTCGTTTTCAAACTATCTGTGCCTTTAGATAGTCACATGTCACTTACCAACAGGGATACATTCTGAGAAATGTGTTGTAAGGTGATTTCATTGCTGTGTGAACACCCTGGATTGTACTTAAATCGAGTATTGACTACAACTGGGGTCTGTGCTGTATAGTTTAGGCTACAAACGTGTACAACATGTTACTGTACTGCATACTGTAGGCAATTGTAACACAACATTTCTTGTGTTATCTAAACATAGAAAAGGTACAGTAAAAATGTGGTATTATAATCTTATGGGACACCATCATATATGTGTATATATGTGGTCTGTTGACTGAAATGATATTATGTGGTGCAGGACTGCATTTAAAATGTGTCTCTTGTAAGTAACGTGTAGTTGAGTCTTGTTTTTTAATAGTCCGATAATCTTTGTCACTTAATTGGAGTATTTATTTACATTTGCTGTATTAACATAACTAGCATTTAGTAATTATTACTATAACTGAGTTTGCTCTTTATAATTACTGATGCAACATAATCACTCATGTAATCGGGTTCCAGTCCTGTCTTGCTGCATGTTTTCTTTTTGTTCATCTGCTCTTTATTCCTTCACTTCTCCTTTGCCTGCCTTTCTTTGGATTCATCAAGCCTTTTTTATCATTGTATTTTGTCCTTCATTCACCTTTATATTTTTATTTATTTATGATTTTTAGATACGGGGTCTTGCTCCATCATCCAGGCCGGAGTGCGGTGTAACTGTCTCTGAAAATAAATACATAGATAAATAATAACTAATCATCACAGCCCACGGTGACCTCCGGCTCCTGGACTCAAGCTGTCGTCCTGCCTCAGCCTCCCAAGTCCATGCCCAGCTACATTTGCTTAAAAAACAAACAAACAAACAAAACTTTTATTTTGAAATAATTTCAGACTTACAGAAAAGTGGTGAGAAGAGTATAAAGGAACTGCACACACGCTTCACTCAGCTCCACTTTGCTGACATTTCTCATTGCTTTTTCAGTGTGCTTTCTTCTGAACAGAAATCAGGACCCTCTGTCTCACAACACCTCAGTGTGTATCTCTCAGGAACAAAGACATTCACTTATGGAACCATAGTGCAATTCTGAAAACTGAGGCATTTACAGATACTTATATAGATGGTCTCCAGCTTATGATTGTTCAACTCTGATTCTTCAGCTTTGTGATGAGCTTATTAGGACTTACCTTATCGTTAAATCTTACCCTATGGTAAGTCGAGGAGCGTCTGGATTTCACGATAGTTTGAGTTACGATTTTTCATCTTTGTGACCGGTATATCAGGGTAGTAAATGCATTTTCAACTTGTAATACTTTTAACAACGGGTTTTATCAGGACACAGCCCTATCACAAGTTGAGGAGCATCTGTACATTCCTAGTCGCATTTCACCAGCTGTCTCTATAAGGTCCTTTAAAGCAAAATTCCCCAGTCCCGGATCTCATCAGGGATCATGCATTGCATTTTGTTGACATGTCTCTTCAGTCTTCCTCCGTCCCCTCCCCTCCGGTCTCCACCCACCCTCTCATCCCTCCTCCCCCTTCTCCCCTCCCCTCCCCTCCTCCCTCCGCCTCTCCCGTCCCCCCTCCACCTCTCCCCTCCCTTCCTCCCTCCCCTCCTCCTCCCCTCCTCCCTCCGCCTCTCCCGTCCCCCCTCCACCTCTCCCCTCCCCTCCTCCCTCCCCTCCTCCTCCCCTCCTCCCTCCCCTCCTCCTCCCCTCCTCCCTCCACCTCTCCCCTCCCCTCCTCCTCCCCTCCTCCCTCCCCTCCTCCCTCCGCCTCTCCCGTCCCCCCTCCACCTCTCCCCTCCCCTCCTCCCTCCCCTCCTCCTCCCCTCCTCCCTCCCCTCCTCCTCCCTCCCCTCCTCCTCCCTTCCTCCCTCCCCTCCTCCTCCCTCCCCTCCTCCTCCCTCCCCTCCTCCTCCCTCCCCTCCTCCTCCCCTCCTCCCTCTCCTCCTCCTCCCCTCCCCTTCCTTCTGGTCTCCACCTCCCCTCCCTTCCCCTCCCTTTCTTGCTTCCTTCTTTCTTTTTTTTTTCTTGTCAGAGTCTCACTGTCACCCAGGCTGGAGTGCAATGGTGCGATCTCGGCTCACCGCAACCTCCGCCTCCCAGCTTCCACCGATTCTCCTGCCTCAGCCTCCTGAGTAGCTGGGATTACAGGCACGCACCACCAGGCCCAGCTGATTTTTTGTATTTTTAGTAGAGACGGGGGTCTCACTATGTTGGTCAGGCTGGTCTTGAACTCCTCTCCTCAAGCAACCCCCCACCCCTGGCTTCTCAAACTGCTAGGATTACTGGAGTGAGTCACCGCACCTGGCCTGCTTCAGTCTTCCTTTATCTGGGACAATTCCTCGGACAGGTTTTGTCCTTCATGGCCTTGATATTTTTGAAAAGTAGAGGCCAGTTATTCTAGCAAATGCTCT